TAGATGGCTGCTCACAGGCTTTTAAGACCCCAGATGCTACTCACCAAGGTAGAATGTAGAACATTGTCTTTATAAACCATGTTATGCCAATTGAGGTAGATGTTCCCAGAGACCATGGTCGCCACAGCCCTCCGCCCAGCAGTTCAGTCCCTCAGGGAGTTCGGATGTGTCTATGGAGCTTCATGACCTTTCGTTGTACAAGTTGTGCTGCCTCACCCTTCACCTGAAGTGGTATCTTACTGTGGTTTTAATTTACATTTCCCTAGTCCTTATTTTGCATCTTTTCTCTGATTTGTATCATTTCTTGTACTTATTGGCAGTTTAGATTTCTTCTTTGGTGAAAATGTCTTTTGCCCATCCTTTGATTTGGTTGTTTGACAGTGTTTTTTGTTGTTGAGTTATAGGTGTTCTTTATATAGTCTGGATGTTAAACCTTAATCACCTATAGGAGTCCCAAATATTTTCTTTCATTCTATAGGTTATCTCTTTGATGATAAAGTTTGTTGATGCACAGAAGTTTTTAATTTTGATGAAGTTCAATTATCTATTTTTTCTTTTATTGCTTTTGTTTTTGGTGTCATATCTAAGAATCCATTGTCAAAAACTGGGTCTTGAAGCATTACCACTGTATTTTGTTGTAAGAATTTTATGATTTTAGTTCTTTCTTTAGGTTGATCCATTTAGAGTTAATTTTTTTATATGGTGTGAGGTAGGGGTCCAGCTTCATTCTTCTGTATATGGAAGTCTGGTTTTTCTAGCACTGTTTATTGAAGAGAATATTCTTTCCCCATTAAATGAACTTAGCACCTTTATCCAATATCAGTTGACCACAGGTGTATGGGTTTATTTCTGGACTGTCAGTTCTCTTTCACTGGTCTATACGTCTGTCATATCATACTAGACTGTTTTGATTACTGTATCTTTATAATACATTTCAAAATTGAGAAGTGTGAGTCCTCCTACTTTGATGTCATCTAATCTGTCCATTATTGGGGCTTCTGTAGAGACGATTTTTCTCCCCTTGTCTTGTTCTTTTGATTGGACCATCATTTCCAGTTTTTTTTTGTATGGCTAGTGATTTTTTTTTTGGTGTTGAAGCTGGGACATTGGAATATTACAGTGTGTTAGCTTTTTCAAATCCCCTGAATATAAGGTACTTTAGAACTTGCTGATTTCTGCAAGAAACTCAGGCAGGCACAGCCTTCAGTCTTTTCTTACTGGTCCCTCCTCCACTTTGGGAGATCTGTGATTCAGGCCATACTGAAGGTTCAGTCCTTCAGGCAGCTCCCAGATTGGTCAGAACAGATACTCCAGAGCCAGAGATCGGAGCCCCTTCTTTTGAATGTGAGAGCCATGGTTTGCCTCCACTGCAGCTGCTAGGCTGCTGTGCCGGGAGCGGGAGAGGTGGGGACAATAGGTAGAGAAATTTTCCTGCTGTTTAAAAATTCATCTTTTTCTCTTTTCAGTGTGTGGTTAGATTCTGCAGTCCGCCTACTTTTCAGAGTTGTTACAGAGTTGAGATTACAGATTTCTGGTTGCTTTTCTTGGTGCTCGTCTTGGAGAGTCAGAATCTTAGACCTGCTAACACTGCCGTCTTCTTCCCTTCACTTTGTAATCTTTGACTTTTAAAGCTTTTTACATATATTATTTTGATAAACATAAAATTTTGTTTTAAAAAAGACAGGTTACAGAGAGTTTTACTATTTTTTAAGGTAGATCTTAGTCCTATTTTCTGAACATTTCTTATATATAGGATGATAAACATGCCTGGATAAACCAAACTAAAAAAATAGAGGACAACCTCTTGGATGTTTTAACTTTTTATTTAAACAAATATAAGAGGGCTACAAGTGTGGTGGAACAATGGAAAATGCGAAGACCTAGATCTTGTCCCCGAGCCCAAGGAACATGGAGTTTAGAAGTTAGATAAGACATATACATAAATCTTACTGAACCATAGCTGTGATCTTATGTATATCCTTTATATTCTTTAGGTGCTCCTTTAATTTAGCATTTTAAACTTTTCTAAAATCCTAGCCCTAAATATACCACGATAAGATACCACTTCATACCCTGTAGAATGGCTAAAATTAAAAAAAAAAAAAAGTCAAATAATAAGTGTAGGTGAGGATGTGGAGAAATTGAAACTCTCATATATTGCTGGTGGGAATGTAAAATGGTGAAGCCACTTTGGAAAACAGTCTGGCAGTTCCTCAAAATGTTAAACATAGACTTACCATATGACTCAGCAATTCCACTTCTAGGTATATACCCAATAAAAATGAAAATATATGTTCACACAAAAACTTGTATACACATGTTTATAGCAGCATTATTCATAATAGCCAAAAGGTGGGAACATCAACTGGTGAATGAAAAAAATAAAATGTGGTATATACTTAAAATGGAATCTCATTTGGCAATAAAAAGGTATAAGTAGTTTTAGGTGCTACAACATGAATTGACCTTGAAAGCATTATATATACTAAGTGAAAGAAACCAGTCACAAAAGACCATATATTATATGATTCATTTCATATGAATTAGCCAGAATAGGTAAATCCATAGAGACAGAAAGTAGATAAGTGGTTGCCAAACCAAAAAAACAAAAAACAAAACCAGTTGCCATCGAGTCGATTCCGACTCATGGTGACCCTATAGGACAGAGTAGAACTGCCCCATAGGGTTTCCAAGGAGCGACTGGTGGATTCAAGCCTTTTGGTTAGCAGCCAAGCTCTTAACCACTGTGCCTCCAGGGCTCCAAGTGGTTGCCAGGGAGTGGGAATTGGAATGGGAGTGACTGCTAATGGGTACAGGGTTTTCTTCTGGAGGCAGTGAAAATGTTGTAAAATTATATTGTGGTGATGGTTGCACAACTCTGAGTATACAAAAAAATCATTGAATTTTATACTTTAAATGAGTGAATAATATGTATAAATTATACTGTTATTTAAAAAATCCTAACTCTAACCTACTTTTCCAGCCTCATATCCCATTCCTCCATTAGCTTCAATCAGTTTTACTTACGTTCTTTGTCTGCAGTGCAGCTTTTTCTCAAATTCCTCAAGACCAAACACTACCCATTATTCCAAATCCAGCTCAATTCCTCCTCTTGCGTAAAACAGAAAAAGTAAACTCTTGCAGCTGAAAGTAAACTCTGCTTTCAACTTCTACTACACTTTCTTCATATCTCTGAATATATCACTTTATGTACTGCACCACAGAGAAATTGCTAGTTAAGGGATAGCTAGTCAACATTTGTCAGCCACAGAGTCATAAGTTACCCTAGATAATCCTTTAAATTGCCTGAACAGTGTAGTACAGTTCTCTTTAGTTCAACTTGGCCAGTTTTTTCCTTCCAAGATTGGAACAGATCTCTTTTCTGCTGAATGCTAGTTGAAGAAACATTCGTATATATGTGTTACATTAAAAAAAAAAAAGTAAATAAAGCCCAACAAGTGACCAAATTTAGATATGTGATGATTGGCTCTCAACTTCATCTCAGCCCCAGTTCTCAATGGAGACACGCAAAAGCTCTTAATTGTGTAGGTGGAGGGTGTGAAATGGGCAGGTGGTAGAGGGATTGCTTTATAAACTGCCTTGTGATCATTTGGGACTTGTTTAATTCACTACCCATTCTGTGTATATTGGCATCTAATCAAATAAAACCAATGTTTTCCCTTTTTCTTCCCCACTTTTCATTAGCATCACAGTAATCCAACCCTGCATTTTAAGCAGTTAAGTATTTGAACCCCACTTACTGCATTGTGGGGTAGGGTTTTACTCTACTGGAACACAGCTAAGACATCACACTATGAAGGGCAGGCTGAAACCAAGACCTGCCAAGAAAATGGCAGAATTCTGTCTTTCCACCTTTTATATACTAAGATGTACGCTTATTAAACGGGAATGGTAGGCAGAATCACTGGATCTTTTGAAATATTTTGTTCTTGTTAGCTACCCCTTTTCCACCCGATATAGTTGAATTTGTTTAAATTACATGTGCCATAAGAAGGACTAGCTGAGTAGATAATTCTCCATCCATACAATGGAATACTGTTATAGCTGTCAACGGGGAAAACAAAAAAGCAAAATTGGGTTTATAGCATGATGCATTTGAGTTTTATTTTGAAGGAATGTACATATATATGTGTACATAGATAGAAATAGGAGCCCTGGTGGTACAGTGGTTAAGAGCTCAGCTGCTAACCAAAAAGGTCTGCAGTTCAAATCCACCATCTGCTCCTTGGAAACCCTATGGGGCAGTTCTGCTCTGACCTATAGAGTCACTATGAGTTGGAATCAACTCGAGGGCAACAGGTTTATGTATACATATATATGTACATACGAAACCAAACCTGTTGCCGTTGAGTCGATTCTGATAGCCATCCAAAGTTATGTATGTATGTGTATTTGTGCACGTGTAGAATATTTCTAGGAGGATATGTAGTAAGTTATTAATAGCAGTTACTTCCAGGGGAAAGGAACCAGGAGGTGATGATATGAGTGGGAGGAAGACTTTCATTGCAAGTGCTCTTCAGTATTGTTTGACTCTTTTACTATGTATGTGTGTGTATATACCTTTCCAACTGAAAAGCATAGTTGTACACTCTTACCAGTCAGTTGTTAATAGTTCATGGTAAATATTTGTATGTCAATTTGAGATGTTTGACAGGGAAAAAAAAAAATATATATATATATAGTGTTAATTTGTGCTACTAGTAGTTTGATTCCCCAGCAGCTCAGATGTATACCACCAGTAATTCACGTTTTTGTTTTGCAGAGTTGCATCCATTTGGGAGAATAGTCTCCAGATCACTACAATTTCTAGTTTCATAGGATCATGGCTCGGAGCCTTTCCTATTCCACTGGATTGGGAAAGACCATGGCAGGTTGGTTTCAGGAATTTAAAGCAACAAATTAAATGTTTGTACATCGATAATAAAACTGGCAGAGCAAACTACTGTGTATATAAATTATTGTTCAATTGAGTAAGGATTCTCATCCCCTCTGTCGCTGTGATCTAGGTGGCTTTTTTATTGGGCCATATCCCAGGGCCGCAGGCGTCCCAGCTCAGCCTGACCCTGTGGAGAATAAAATGATTTTTTCATCTACTGTCTTTCCTGGTTCTATCTTCCATCATTGCTTTTTCTGCATGTATAGATGAATAAACAAACTTATTTTGTGAATATGTCTGGAGGTTTAAAAAAAAGGCTAGCAATTGCAGGAATTCCCTAATTTCAACTTTAATATTCACTGCCATTGTGGTCTTAAATTCATATTTTCTTGATTGATGGCCAAATTGAATGTCAATCTTAAAAAAATATTTTTTAAAAGCCTGTACTTTTAAGGAGCCCTGGTGGCACAGTAGTTAAGAGCTTGGCTACTAACCAAAAGGTTAGCCGTTCAAATCCACCACCAGCCTCTTCTTGGGAACCCTATGGGGGCAGTTCTACTCTGTCCTATAGGGTCCCTAGGAGTCGGAATCGACTCAGTGGCAATGGGTTTGGTTTTTTTGGTTATAGCTCTTAAAACAGGGATATGTGATATTGGCAGGAGCTTACAAACATCAAGTTTTTCATTTCCTCTCACAATAGGATAAAGCTAACATACTAGGTAAAGCACTGTAAGTGCTCTTTCTGTCACCATTTTACAGATGAGGAGACTGACACCTAACAGCTAGGTGACATTCCCGAGCTCACTGAGCTAGGAGGTGATGCATGTATGTATATCTTAATTTTTAATGATTTTGTAGTATGCCGTTAAGCTCCCTGAGTGGCACAAACAGTTAAGAACTTGACTACTAACCAAAAGGTTGGCGGTTCGAACCTACCCAGACACGCCTTGGAAGAAAGGCCTGGCAGTCTGCTTCCAGAAGGGCACAGCCTTGAAAGCCCTATGGAGCAGTTCTCCTCTGTACTGATGGGATTGCCATGATGGGAATTGGCTTGATGGCAGCTAACAACAAGACCAGTGTGCCATTACACAGCTACTCCCTAATTTAGTTAGCAAATTTACTAGTGATGGTCATCTAGGTTATTGCCAGTATTTCACTATGACGGTGCTATGATAAACGTCTTTGAACCTATATCTTCATGAATTTTTCCAGTTGTTTTCTTAGAATAATTTCTCCAAAATGGCATTGCTCTATTAAAAAAATACATGTACTTTCCTTTCTAAAATGAAGAACTTTTTTTCTGATTAAAAAAAAAAGCCCATTGTCATTGAGTCGAATTCTGAGTCATAGCGACCCGTAGGACAGAGTAGAACTGCCCCATTGGGTTTCCAAGGCTGTTAATCTTTTCAGAAGCAGACTGCCACATCTTTCTCCTGCGGAGTGGCTGGTAGGTTCAAACGACCAACTTTTTGGTTAGCAGCCAAGCACTTAACCACTGCACCACCAGGGCTCCTTGTTTCTGATTACACAGACAATATACATTTATTTAGAAAAGCTAAGTAATATTAATAATTATAAAGAAGAAAGTAAAAATTATCCATTATCCAGCCACCTAGAGGCAACCTCCATTTATATTTTGGTGAGAATTTTTGCAACTCTCTGTGTATATATAATTACTATTTGATATGTAATATGATTAAGTTCATGATATACATGTTGTTTTTAATCTGCTTCCCTCCACCACAACAAGATATTATGGAGATCATTTCATGTCAGTGAAAATTTACATGCATGTAATATTCCATTATCTGGTAAAATAACATATTGGACCAATTTAATAAATGAACATTTAGATTGTTTCCAGTTTGCAGAATTGTAAATATTATGGTGCTTATCATCCTTCAACATACATCTTTGCATATTTGTCTAATTTTCTCCTTAGGGCGAATCCCTAGGTAATGAATGGCTCGGGTTAACTATCGATACATCCCTCACGTGCCCAAGTTCCTTGTGGGATCCAGATTGTGTCTCACACCTCACTGCCTGCTTTTAGGCCCATTTTTAGCATTTCAGTTAGATGTCGTGTTTCCTGGACAGACGAGTTGTTCTTTTACACGCAGAAGGTCTTGTGGGTTTGCCTTTTCTTATATTGGTTCTTCCTCCTCTTATATGTTATAGGAATCCCCGGAGTTTGGGAGTATGTGGCATCACTGATACCCTTTCCAAGGTTTTAGCGCTAATTTAAGACTTTGTTATTTTCTGTTTCCTTGGCCATTTCGGTAGTCACTAGGAGACAGGGATTCATCATGCATACTCGAGTTGCCATCTTATAAAAGTCATCTATACGTCCTTCAACAAAGCATCAGTGATTTCTAATTTGTGAGGGGATAATCAAAATCATTGAAAAGTATAAATAGAAAACCTTTGTTGTAACCTGTAGTAGATCTGTTACTTTTAGATATATGCAGTTAAGTCTAATATAACAACGTATTGAAAAATAAAGCCCCATGGGCCATCAGCTTAAATGAGTTGCTAAGGTAATGTATAATTAACGTATCAGTTTGTACGTAGATGGAGTATTTTAGAGTGTAAAGATTGGATATCTTGTATGTATTAAGTCTTCCTTAAGACTATGCAAAAGTAAAAACTAAATTATGGAGAGTAGACTTGCTTTGTAAAACCAGGGTTTTAGGTTCACTTAGAAAACAGACATCTTAATTATTTATATTCTAATTATCCATTTTTGGATTGTTCAGATTTTTAGCCACCGACTGATTTTTCTACCTCAGAGCTGGTTTATAGTAAGCTGGATCCAAATTGATGGTATCAGATTTTTAAAATTGATATAAAGTTTCCACTTGAATTATTGACTTTTTAAAATATATTTATTAGTTAGCTAGCTAAATATGTGACAGGTATTGGTCTTCATTAACAATATTTCATTCCACTGGAATGTTACTGGCTATTTAATCATCTTTACTGTGGGATTGTTTTTAGAATATTCCAAGTTAATGATCCACTTATTTGCTATAATTCTTTTCAGTTATAATACATACTGTTTGAGGAATGATAGAATTGGTGAAATAGTAATAATATTTTATTCATACACTAATCAGCTGCCCCTCCCCCCTCTAGCAGTTACATACTAATAAATTAGAGTAATGATGAAGTATCTTGTTTTTTCTTCCACTTGTTATTTTTGGCAAACAGAGTTTTTTGTTTTTGTTGGTAGTGATTAATAATTCTAACTACACAGAGCAAACACTCATTGCCGCTCAGGAGTGCTGCCAGTATCTACCAGAGAAGCACTAAACCAGATAAGGGAATGTGGCATTTTCTCAAAATGGAGATTTTTCTACAGCAAAATTTCATGAAATGATACTGTGTATACTTTATTGCCTAAAGCATAATGTATATTAAGAAGAGATTTTAGTTCTCTGTTCCTTCTAGCCCAGTACATTAAGAAATGTTGGTTACTCTGAGCAAAGGAATTTGGCCATGAAGTTTTTAAACCCACATGTTTTATTGATGGTAGGCAGATAGCATGATGAATAACAGCTCTGGCATCAGATTGCTGGCTTCAAATCCTCACTTCACCACTTGCTCCATAAACCCATTGCCATTGAGTCGATTCCAACTCATAGCAACCCTAGAGGACAGAGTAAAACTGCCCCAAAGGGTTTCCAAGCCTGTAATCTTTACAGATGCAGGCTGTCACATCTTTCTCCTGGGGAGCACCTGGTAGATTTGAACCACTGACCTTCGGTTAGCAGCTGAGCACTTTAACCACTGTGCTACCAGAACTCCTTCTCATGTGTTAGAGAAAAAAAATTCTGATTGTCTCAGCTTGTTTTATTCTTTCTGTCCAGCAGTCCTTCTGTTGCAATCATCTATTTCTGATATCTGGGTATTTGGATTTCACATAATTTTAATCCTGTCTGACATTTCAGAAGATGGCAATGGAAAAAATGTAACATTTGTAGGTCTCTATATGTATCAAGCATGGAGCTTGGCACTGTTACACAATTAACTTAATTCTGACAATGGTAGTGCAAGGTGGGTTTTATTCTCACATTTTTACAAATGAGACAATCAAAGATGCGGGGGAGAGTGAAGCATCTTGCTCAGCATTACACAGCTGGTAAGAGGAAAAGTCAGGATTCACACCAGAGCCCCACTACACCATGATTCTCTTCATTGCTGGAGACTCTGAAATCATAGTTTTTGAAAAATGGCCGTAGTTTAGATTTCTCTGGAAGAGCTTAGGTAGTTATTATATTACATTTCTTTCCCCATATAAGAATTTCCTACTAATGGACCACAACCACCACAACCTCCACCAGACTGAGCCCAGAACAACTAGATGATGCCCGGCTACCACCAGTGACTGCTCTGGCAGGAATCACAATAGAGGGTCCCAGACTGAGTGGGAGAAAAATGTAGAACAAAATTCAAATTCACAAAAAAAACCAGACTTACTGGCCTGACAGAGACTGGAGAAACCCCAAGAGTATGGCCCCTGGACACCCTTTTAACTCAGTACTAAAGTCACTTCTAAGGTTTACCCTTCAGCCAAAGATTAGACAGGGGTATAGGGCCAACAATGGTACATGTGAGGGATGTGCTTCATACTTCAATCATGTATACTCGACCAATGGGCATACCAGACCAAAAGCAAAGACGAGAAGGCAGGAAGGGACAGGAAAACTGGATGAATGGAAACAGGGAAGCTGGGGTGGAGAAGGGAAGAGTGTTGACACATCTCGGGGTTGGCAGCCAACGTCACAAAACAATTTGTGTATTAACCGTTTATTGAGAAACTAATTTGCTATGTAAACTTCCACCTAAATCATGATAAAAAAAAAAATTTCCTTTTGGTGCCGTGAACACTGGTATGTGTATTTTACATGGTAGAATTTAATAGATTTGTAGGAGAGTATTTAAAATAAGCAATGCCTTTGTGCCTAGAGAAACCCCCAAAAAACCCTAACTCTG